AGGTACACCTCAATAACAATTCCTTGAGGGCATTTACTGGCAGTCCTATATCCTGTTGATTGTCGGCAATGAAGTCACAAATGTAGTTGACCGTTTCCATTACCGGTACGTTCGTAAAAAGAGACGAGACATCTAACGAAAACATAACCATTTCGTTCAGATCAAAGTCTTTCACGCCGTTAATGAATTCAAAAGTATCTCGATAGCTATGTGGCGCTAGTTGATATTGCAGAGGTTTAAGTTTCTCCGCCAGCCATTTCGCTATTGCATGGTACGGCGAGTTTCTCATATCGAGGATTGGGCGAACCGGTACGCCATCTTTGTGGATCTTCGGCAAACCATATAATCGAGGTATATGCGTACCGACGGGTCGGAGGCGCTCTACGTCGTGTTCGCTTATTCAACCATCCGCCTGAAGTCTTTTCAAGCAGTCAGTCAGTTGTGCTTCAATCTCGTCTGTACGGTCCTTCTCCTTCTCTGTCTTTCGGAACTTTGTCTGATCCGACAGAATTGACTGTATTTTCGTAATATAGTCTACCCTGTCCATCAAAACAACGCCGGTTCCCTTATCTGGCCTAGTTATCAGAACGTCTTTGTTCTGCCGGAGCTGCTTTAACTTCTCAATGTGTGACTTTGTCAGCAAGCCCCGATATGTCTGACGACTGTTCAGGTATTGGTAAGAGCAATTGACTAACGTAGACTTAAGATGTTGTACGCGCTTCAATAGCCATATAAATGTACAGGCCTGAAGAGAATTTATCGAAAGCAAACGTATGCTCGCCAAATTGCCTTTTGAATTTTACAATGGGAATTTTCGCAACTCTAAAAAGAAGTTCGTTCGAAGGCCGGTACCCAGAAGTAAGTGAATCATCATGGGATTATGCTGCACGGTTAATAATGTAACAACCCAACTTAAATTATCTTTTTTTAGTCGAAAACGAATTTCGGAATTTGGGCTAACATCTCATGATTTAGCACACCTTCTGTATTTGCCTTGTTTAATTTCCGAGGAAATTAATGCGCGAACTTGGAGTAATTCTTTCGAAATGGGCCTTTTCAGGCACGCTCCAAATTTTGATATGAATATTTGAGCTGATACCTGTGTTGTTAGTATGGTAAATCATTGCACACCTTCTGTATGCCGGGTAAGCAAATCCATTCCGACCAGGTCATTCAAATCCAGTAGGTAACATCCATTCGAACCACAGCTGAAAAGGCCATCTCGAGAACGGATAAACGAGTCTGTGGGATGATTTGCCCTCAATGAACTATGTCTTCCAGGTACGAAAAGTATCCAAAGCTAAAAATCGGTAGTTGGAAGAGACGATCGCATCGTTTCCATTAGGTGACATTAAAACGCCCGATGGTCGGGTCGTCAGTTAATTATCAGAAATGCTTAATGGTTTTGGACCATACACCCTAATTATCTATCTCGTGCACCCTGTCATTGTGCGCGGACATTCATTTTCAGTCGCCACTCCACCTGCATCGGAGGTCTGTTTTAGTCCGTGCATTGTTTACACGTATTGGCCACGGGGTGGTTTTGTCCAGGGCCGCATTCGAGCGAGGCAGGTGTGTGCTTGCACTCCGTGACCTTGAGACCATTGTCCAATTAAGCGCAGGTGTTCGCAATAGGCGAGCGTCGCGCGCATGCCGACCAAAAGAATGTCCCCTCTTCCATCCCCTCTCCCGTCCCACTTAGCGGGAAGGTATGCGGTCGACCAAAATATGCTTGTCATAAGTACTGGTGTTCTCCACCCTGTCGCCCAATCACGACATTTCTGGCCAAACTAAGTAAACAGTGCGCAGCTGACTTTTTTCCGACCAGATTAGGTTGGTCAGGCCTAGTCAGCAAAAACAAGTTTTCCAATTCCCGAATAATTTTTGAACTCGCTCTACCGTCACACATGGATTCAGGGTTTCCAAACTACAAGCCGTATATTTTCCGCGTACGGAAAACTACACATTTCTCTATGGTAATAAAGGGGGACCATATAGGGTTCATAAAATTAAGCAGTGGATTTTATCCATATTGTTAATTTTACAAGCCATATTTGTAAATGCAGATACATGACGTTTTATGAACGGCCATCTCACAGTATTTAAAAGTCCCACAATTGGAAATTTTTTTAAAACCGAATTATACTATTCCTTTGAGTATAAATTGGAAGAAGACGTAATTATCTACCGAATGAGCAAAAGAATGAATATCTTTATGCATGTTTTCCATGAAATATAATTGGACTTTTAGGGACATATAAAATAAATGAGACAAAATCATGCAATTTAAATAGTCATTTTTTACAAAGTGTAGTTTTTTGTATGCAACCGGAAGGAAGTTCATTCGAAAGCCGACACCCTGAGGTAACTGACATATTATAGAATTATGTTGCAGGCTGACTAGTTTTACAGCCCTACTTAATAAATCTTTTCGAAACGGAAACACATTTTGGAATTTCGGCAGTTTATAAAACAACGTGCTGAGGAGCTGCGTCGGTCGCAATCGCTTCGTGTCAAAACAACCGGATGGAAGTTATGGTGGACCGCTTTTTCTGTTAAACACTACTTGAAGAGCTCTGCCGCCTCTTTTCATTTTGTACTGAAATAATTTAGCAGGTGCGAAGAGTTTTAAGATATCAGACACGTGATAGGTGGTTTCCAGGTGGGACGTCCGTGTGTTCGGCCTGCACCAAGCAAATATTGCCAGTGTGAGACTCGAATTTACTGGATCAAGACTTGCGTTTTAGGGAGATTTTAGTGTAGCACGTGAGCTTACACCTATAATGTTCGCTCAATGCATTACTACATGCTGGTGGGAGTTATTTTGAACGAGTTGCTTTGAGCTACTGGAGGAAGTATCTGATTTGGTGCCACCCAGATCGAGTTTATGCTTCACTGGATGGTAAGTCCCACCTGGGTTATTTGTGTCACTGAATGTGCCGCTTTCAGATTTATCGACCTCTCCTTTCAAAAGAAGTGGAGGCGTTCACCGGGAGAGGTTTAATGGAGGTCTGACGTTTAGAGTAGTTGCTTCATCTACTCATCTTCAGAGACCCGAAGTCATGTGTACATTTCTCCTTATATATCGCACTTTGATGCGTGGCCCGCCAACGCCGCCTGTGTAGCTGCATCCGACCCGCATGTCACAGTGACCTGAATCGTCCCCGCCCTCGTCGGTTGCAGAGATAGTTGACGGTCCCGATTGTCCCGCGCCGTGACCGTCCCCCGTTAAGAAGGTTCGTAAAGTCAGATAGGGGGAAGGCAAGTTAATGTGGCGGTTGAAAGAGCAGTCCGTGGACATCCAGGCTTCTTGCACCTGCCTTGTTGTATGATCATCGCCCCGGCCCACAATCTCAACGGCCTCAAAGTTGAAAATGTGTCCCATTTGCGCGGCATGGATTGCTACCTCCGACTTTGGGTCCAGCCTTCGCATGGCCAACTTACGCTCGTGCATTCGCGTTTGCCGGATCTGTCAACCGCCACATCAACTTGCCTCCCCCTTATCTGACTTTACGAACCTTCTTGACGGCGGACGGTCACGGCGCGGGACAATCGGGACCGTCAACTATCTCCGCAGCCGACGAGGGCGGGGGCGATTCAGGTCACGGTGACATGCGGGTCGGATGCAGCCGCTACACAGGCGGCATTGGCGAGCCACGCTTCAAACGAAGAGCTGTGCGCATGACTTTCTAGTCCATGAAGATGGATAGAAGAAGCAACTGCTTCAAACGCCAGACCTCCAAAAAACCTCTCCTGGTAACGCCTCCTCTTCTTTTGATATGCCACCTGGGAATCGCATTTTCGCTACTATTGATCTGTCCTTTCTATTTACGCTATCACCAGCAGTGTCAGAAGCTGGCATTGGTACATGTGCCACTGATGTGGTTCTGTCGCGGTCACTATTTAAGGTAGGACACTGGAACATGACCTCTCCCCCTCCCCCTCCCCCCCCCCCTACTACAGGTGGCCTTGAGCCAAATTTCAGGAAGGGTACCCATTTCCGCGTCCTCACCATTGCCTCAACCCTAGTCTTAACCCTAACCCAAACACCACTCGGAAGTAAGCGCAAGGCCACCCGTATTACGGGGGAGGTTCCTATCCTCGCGTTCCACCCTATATAATCATATAGTAGGTGGGGGACGTAGGAATGTCCAGTTTTGGGTCCACGCGATGGTCGTAGTAGGTCGCTTCGCTTGCTTACAGGTGCAGACTACGTCTACCATCCATTAACCGGCGCTCAACAATCTCATGTAGCTCCCCGAAGCTAGGCTCTGTCTTGAGGCCACACCTGGATAGCCTTCTCGACAGGCGGGTTAAACCAGAATGGGGCATCGGGTGTTGTGCCTCCTCACACCCGGTAATCTCGTCTCCCTCCCCATTCCGCCCCCATCGCCTCCTCCCTCCCTCCCACTAAAAAAGTCCTACGGAGGAGGCGACATGGAATCAAATATGTGGCTCAGGCAAACTCGGGTCACTCCCCAATAAACAAAGACGTAACCCGTGGTGTGGTTCGGCAGCCGTTTGGGACGTCTCAGCAGCCCTGCTCTCCAACGCGAGGGAGAGGGGGCTATAAAAGATGTCCTAAACACATGGTGGGATCACGCCCTCTGCATGTTGACCGTGGCTCGCCAACCCAAAACACACGGTCGAAACCACCAGACAAACAATAACGACCCCCTCTCTTCCCGTCCTCCTCCCTCCCCCCCTACCCCACAGGCTGGTAGGATGAGTGCACTCACTCGGGCAGCCTGGAATGTTCATTCTCTTTTAGACAGTCTAAGGAGCAACCGACCAGAACGAAGGACGGCCCTGGTCGCTTGAGAACTGGTGCGCCACAAGACGGACATCGCTGCCCTCAGTGAGACGCAGTTCTTTGAGCAGAATCAGCTGGAGCGGTTGTCCCAAAGGCAGGACAACGAGGGGCGGGTGTTGCCTTTGCCATCCGGAACGACATCGTGGGACGACGGCTTTGTCTGTCGCAGGGCATCTGCGACCGACTGATGAGTCTGCGCCTGCCTCATTTGGAAGACAGATTCGCCAACATCATCAGAGCCTACGCCCCGTCGATGACCATCCCTGACGAGTTGAGGAACAAGTTCTACGAGGACCTGCACGCCCTCCTGGCGTCTATGCCGAGGGTGAGCAAACTAGTTGTCTTTGGCGACTTCAACGCCCGCGTTGGGGACAGACTGAGCTGCCTGGAGGGGAGTGCTGCGTCCTCACGGGATCGGCGGTTCCAACGACAATGGTCTCCTTATTCTGCGAACCTGCGCTAGGCACCACCACCTCCTGCAGACTAACACCTTTCGCCTGCTGATGAGGAAGAAGGCCACCCCCGATCGCGGCGCTGGCAGCTTCTGAACTATGCTTCCATCCGGCAGAACGGTAGGCAGGACGTAATGGTGACGAAGACGATTTGTGACGCCGGTGAATGAACAGACCACCGCCTCGTTACCTCCGCCTGCGACTCCACAGGCGGCTACAAGGTAAGCGGCCACTTGGTAAGTTGAATACTGTTCTGTTGAATCTGCCTGCTCACCGCTTATGCTTCAGTAATCAACTGACCCAGCGCCTGGAAGGCCTGTAAGTTCCAGATAAAAACGCCCCCATGGGGACCCGACGGTGCCAACTGTGGGGCGCTGTTAAATCGACCGATCTGGGTGACCCCGGCCGCGCATGTCGTCAGCACCAGGACTCACTTGACGACCACGCCGCCGCCGACATAAACAACCTGCTCGCTGAAAAGAACAGACTACACAAAGCCTACATCGACGGTCCATTGCAAACAAAGCGACGTTCGCCTACCAAAAAACGGTAAGATGTGGTTTGGTAGTCCCACCTGATGAACACAATACTGTTCGGGTTGGGGTTATGGTTAGAAGTTAGGGTTAGCGGCTATGGTTAGGGGTTAGGGTTTAGGATTAGGGGTTGTAGTTATGGCTTAGTGCAACTGTTTCTCACCCATCCAATGCACAACCGCGCATTCCCAGTAGTTTTTCTTTTGCATACAACTACTTGAACTCGTTACCTGCGCGTTCTCCGGCCCCATCTGTAAAAACTGCCATTACAACCGGTCTCGTATTACGGGTGGCTGGAATTTGCTTACATCATGTGGGGGTACCAAACCACACCCGACCCAAAAAACCCTTTTACAGGGATGTCGCAACGGATGCTTGCTGGCACTGAGGACGAAAACAACGCTACACAGACGTGTAATGACAGAAAAAAGGCGTTTCGTTTTAGTGTGCCAAAAATGCGACCTGTAAAGTATTGTGGCACAGCTTTCAATAACAAGTTAACGTCCCGCTGCAGTCCTGCGGTTATTCTGTCCTTTCTAAATCTACTCGTGATATACCGGTTTATTTTTTACATAGGTGACCATGTTTCGTTCATAGCGTCTTCTGTTTCATTTCGGTGGGTAATTTTTTTCCATTCGGATATATTCTTTGCTATTCACGCTGTCTCACCTTTCCAACCAGTGCATGCGCTACTCTTCGCTCTGAGTGTCAACGCACCAGTCATCTACCCACTCATCTGATCTCTGACTGACATCGGCACATTAGGCTCAACGATTCTACCAGCCACCCGATAGCCGGCATTCACACCTTCGACCTTCCATCTGTGCGGCCTGGTGACATGGCGTTGTGGCTGCGCGTTGTAGAGTCCCTTTTCGTCGTCCGCCAGATTACAAGAGAGAATGCGAAATTTCACTGCGTTGCGGAAGCACTCCCAAGGTACATCGCCACGGACCTTCACGATATCATAGATAACCCGCTGATAGAAGCCCACTAAAGGAGGCTCTCATCTCCCGCATTGCCCTGTCAACCCAAAACTTCAGCAGCGTTTGATTTCTGGGGAGCACCTTGGTGACAGAAAGCCTACAAAGCTTCTTAGGCGTTTGCAACAGCTGTCGGACGGACACAATCTGGATGCCACCATGTTCAAGCAGCTTTTCCTCCAACGACTGCCCTCTTCTGTGCAAGTTATCCTTGAGCCTAAAAGTCCTTCTTCGACTGTTCAGATGCTCGCAGAGACTGCTGACCGTATGCTCGAGTACAAGCAGCCTTCTGTTACGGCAAATGTTGCTAGTCGTACCCCAGCCGTGTCAACTGCGCCTACAATCGAGGATGTCATGAAACGTCTGGACGATCTCACCACTTAAGTTTCCCAGCTCTTTGGCGATTTCATCCACGTCTCCAAATGCGGTTCTCGCGCTCCATCACTCTTATTCCTAGGACACAGCGTAGACGATATCCGTTGTCATGCCATAGACGCTAAAGCTTCAGCTATTCGGAAGTTCCCTGCTCCCACTTCTTTTCGACAGTTGTACCGTTTCATAGGTCCTGCTAATTTTTTTTGTATCGACATTTTATCCCTCACTGCGCTCGACTAATGTTACCCCTCACAGAGCTTTTACGGGGTAACAACCGCGGATTTTCTTTTCCCGGCAGAGCCGTGGACACCTTCCAACGTGTAACAGAGATCCTTGCGAATACAGCTGCTCTTTCTAACCCTCTAACTGAGGCTCCGCTGTCCATTGACGCTGACGCCTCCAGTTGCGCCATAGGTGCAGCCCCGCAGCAACAGGCCCCAACGAGCATCCTGTTATGTATGCAAAACAGAGGGTTAATTGGAAATAGGACGTGTACTGAGTACGATAGACAGCACAAGTGAGGAGGCTTGTTGACACGGCCGGGTATATGGCAAGGGGGACTGTCATGGAGCATTTTGAGCGTCATAGAGGCCTTTGCAGCTCAATGTGCCAACGCTGAACCCGTTCTACTCTTAAGGTACGTACTCCTAAAGTACGTACAGTACGTGACCTATCTCATGAAATCCGATAACGGAATTTGACGGGAGAATTTCTGGACGCCTTTAACGTTGCCCATTTTGATCGCTCATCCACATCCTTCAATGAAATGTTCTTTTCTTGTTCAGAAATTGTGTTTACGTAATTATATCAAGTAAAATATCAGTAAATTTTAGCGAAAATAGACGTTGGATTATATTCGTGCACTGTCCTATGTTTATACACGTCCTAGACTCCGGTTACACATGTGAGCGACTTTTTCATTGAAAGGAAAGTAATTTCTCCGAGAGAATTTTAATATACAGATTTAGCCGGACAAGACAGTTTATTTTATGTCCGATGTTAACCATGCTGAGCAACCTGCTAACAAAAAGGTTATTTTAGAAAAACCAGGGATTTTATCAATTCCTAAGTGTCGAATTAGCAGTTCTGTTCGATTTGGTGCCCTAAAGTGCAGTAATAACGCAGATAGGGATTTCTTCGTTTAAATGGGCTGACATCTTTTTGCTGTTTGGAATATTCTAACTGGTGTCACATAAATGACCACTACCGAATGGTCATTTCCAGCTTTAAACACATGACACACTACTTTTCGTGCATTTTAGCTCCTGCGCATACTTTATTCAGAAATAGAACGAGCAGGAGATTAATAGTTTCATAAAAATATCAGTATTTTTATGGGCGCTCTGCCGTGCATTCATAATCGAAGAACATAGTCTAAAAGCGAACAAAAATAGTGGAAATGGCCTCAATGTATAGAGAAAGGCATGTTTTTACATTTACGGTAGAAAAATATTAGGATTGCCTAGGAACGTGAAAGAAACCGCCTAAAGTGTCATATTTTTACTTAGCCTCATCGTACAAAAATGCAACGTACACAGAGACCCGCCAACGGAGTGCAGTAGTAAAGCCCTTCTTAAAGATGTAACTTATTAAGGAAAGTTTCCTTATTGATCAAAGGCATATTCGTTGGTGAGTTTCGTTATGGACAGTCATTTTTCTCGAAAATGAATTTCGATGTTTGAATGGGTCTTCACATGTGACCCAAACGACCATCTACGTGAAAAGGAGCGCCTGAGCACACACTAATTCGGTAAATGCCTTCAAGAATAATCTTATTTTAAAGTTCTCAACAGACAGGTAATTCAGGATCTGTCTTTATGGAAGATCGGGTGAAAACACTGAAAATCATGAAGTATTCAGCAACATTTCGAGGCCGATCTGAAACTCTACGTAATCCAAAACGAAGGAAAAGTATAAAGTAATTTAGCAGAAGAAAAGTTCTGTCTATAAACACAGAGTTGTATGTTTACGATCAAGCAGGTCAGTTCTATTTAAATGTGTTAGTTACCGACTGGCATCATGGCATGTCACCTTATGAAAACTTTTGTTCCTACGACGTCCCCATCGGTGAATTCAAGCAAAATCCAACTTCACTCGTTGAATCTCATCTCGTTTAACTGAAAATACACAAGGATAACAAAAAACGCTGGAAAACTGTTTTGGAATCTATACTCGGAATGTAGGCAGTTGATAAACCGTCATATATGAAATCACACCAATTATTAAACGATATTTAGATGTAAACTTCACTAAAACACAGTTATTAGACGGTATTTTATGTCTACTTTCATATTTACTACGTTTTTGGTATGAGAATACATTCTATAATCCAAAAACGAAGTTTACTAAATTAGAGCCATTTCTGAAGTTTTCGGGATATTGCGCTTTTCAAAACAAATCGACATTTCTAAACAACGCAACACTGCTTATAATATTTCTTTTATGTTTTTAATTCTTTTAAACTTGTGGTTAATTAACATAGACATGGGACTCATGAAATGGTGTCGGTTTGCGAGTGATTGGTACTCATTCGTAAATTTCGACACATTTCATGAGTTAGGTCACTAACTGTAGCAGAATCTGAAACTCACAAAAGTGCCTTACGACATGTTCATACGTAAGATGACCACTTGATAATGGACCCTTTCACGGTTACTTGTGGTGTGTACGCAAATGGGGAACCATATCGGTACATTTAAACAAAGTATTGCATGTAAGTGCTAAAAAGACTGCATTTTAGGGCATGAGGTCACGCAGACTTTCATATGTGAAATTTTCAAATCGATAAAAAGTGTAGTTTGCTTAAAATAACCCGCTGTCCACATCCCATTTAACAAGACTCGCGCAAAACAAAAGAACGGTTCTCCCGTGCGGCTAGTTCTGTTTGGTAAAATTCTTGAGGTGTATTTCTCCCCTCTCAAAGACAAACACGTTCGGATTCGCAGCCTTCGTCAAGGACAACTATTAACCTAGGAAATTATCCATATATACGGAAACGTAGATGGTGTTTGACAACATGACTTCGACATACATTCAGCACGGAAAAAAGTACATTTTCCCTAAGGGGCTTGGTAAATAAGCAAAATGCGCAACGTTTCAAATGCCTAAAAATGTTCATCTCGGTTTCCTTCATCACACTTCATGAGTCAGTTCAGTAGATATCCCCCCGATGTCAAATAGTTTATTGTGTGCGTTCGTGCAAGTTCTGACTGGGCAGCAGGGAAGCGCAAGGTCACACCTCTTTCTCCTATACTGACGCGAGTCAGAAAAAAAATCCAAACGGTCTGCGGAGATTCCTTGTAATTGTCCCTAAATTGTTATTCACAAAATAGTCAGAATTTCCTGTGAAAATGCCTCTCCGAGCACCGAATATGACATCCAGCAATCTGAGTGAGAAGTATTGTTAAAAAAGAATGTCAGGTAGTAGGTAGGGTAGACGCCAAGGGTCAGAACTTCGCTCGATCGACGCTTAAAGTGGACTTGTCAGCCGCATCAATACCTTGGCGATAGAAGGCAACAAGTCGAGCGGTAGACTCCGGACAGTGCATCACAGACATCATAAAGGCTGGGAATATCATGAAATATCGATCGATAACTCTACTGCGCAGGTCACGCCTACCTCCAGATCTTTTAAAGAGGTGCCAGAGTAATTAGTGCAGCGTATCCTGCCCGGGCCGTCAGGACATCATGCCACAAATGCGTGACAAGCGAACGATCAAGGTCATGACCCCTGTGCACACCTTCTTTGTGCTGATTGGCCACCCATCAGCCTATGACAGTCCCCCTTGCCATATACCCGGCCTCCTCACTCGTGCTGTCTATCGTACTCAGTACGCATCCTAGTTCCAATTAACCTTCTGTTTTGCATACATAACATTGGCGACGCAGCGCGAGAAACAACAGCTAGATGAGGGTGAAGGATCCAATTGGTGTTGTGATGATGCACAAGTTCGTGTTCAGGTGCAGAAAAATGCTAAAACATGTGGGGGGCTAAATGTGGCAGCTCAAGTTAAAAACACCGGTAAGACTGACTTCTATGGCCCCCTAAACAGGACATGATAATAAGAACGCCCCGTCCAAGTAATAAAGATGGACCTGCGAATAATTCCCGAAATGGCAAAATATCCCCGTGTCCTTACCCCAACAACAGCCATCATATGAAACTAAACCGTTGCCCCAATCTTGAACCCAACCCCCACCGTAAACTTTAACTGTGCAGCTAACGCTAGCTCCAATCTTAACGGGATCCTGACTTTCCTTACCGGTAACGTTAAATATAGCCTTAAATCTAATTCTTAACTTAGCCCTAACCTTTATTTCACTGGAAGTTGGTTCAAAGTCACTCGTATTGTAGGCAGTTAGTCCTACAGAAGCACCATCCATTTCGTCGCATTGTTAGGGACGGGCGGAAATTGCGGACTCGCCTACAAGAGCACAAATCAGCTACTCGGAGGATAGACCCAAACTCTCAATTAGCAACGCACGTTGGAGAAACTGGGCATACTTTCGATCTCCAGCGAGCTACCATCTTAGGTTGGGGCAGCACAAAAGCAGAACGGTTAACTCTCGAGGCGTGGTCCCGGATGTTCACTCCATCAACAGACAGCAGGACTTTCCTGCAGCTTATAAAGTCCTACGTCATCACAATCGTAGAGCTCAGGACCAAACAACCACAGCAAACATAAGAAGGCCATGCGTATGTAGACGTACGAGGACAGCCCGACGGCGAGTGTACTCGACGAGGAAAAACAAGAACCACCAGACCGACCATCTGACAAAGATTCAATCAGCTCCCCCTGACGGAGTGGTGACTCACAAAGCACGCAGACAAAACGCCCGTCAACCATCCCCGAGAGGACGAGGCAGCGAGAGGAGAGCAAAATCGATCAGCACGAGGCCGACCAACGTGACACTCCACTTGGGATCTCCGGTCGATTAAGAGCATTTTACGCTTTGACAATGGAGAGCCGGCCAAGCTCTTCGAAACGTCAGCATCTAAATAAGCCTGTTCCGGTGAGCCCTTCTTCTTCTTCTTCTTCTTCTTCTTCTTCTTCTTCTTCTTCTTCTTCTTCTTCTTCTTCTTCTTCTTCTTCTTCTTCGTCGTCTTCTTCTTCTTCTTCTTCTTTTTCTTCTTCTTCTTCTTCTTCTTCTTCAAATAATCAACCCGGATCTCTCAACTTTGCCGATCTGAATTGTTAGGGACGTTTTTCATATCATTGTTCATGTGGTAAAATTGGGCTGGATTCCGGCAGAGTCGGGGTGTGCCAAGGATACGTCACTTCAGAGGCAAACGGGTCACCTTTTAGCTTTTTTCATTACGACCTCTACCGACTCGTAGATAGTAGCACATGGTCATAACCGATAAGCGTTTCTTCTTTATGGCCGTAATGTTCATCAGAAATTACCATAATCATCGTGTAATTTCTTATTCTTCCGAAGTGTTGGACAGTTAGTCGGACTTAATACTGATGACTTAGGAAAGTCATCGAGGGGATTTAAAGAAAAGCTAGGCCTATCTGACTTAGGCATACCAGTCATTCGCGTTCCAGACTCTGCCAGTTTTTTACGGAGGCAGATTTTGCGCAAATTTTGGCGATCACAATTACTGCGCAATCAGTTTTTAACTCACCATAACAGTGTTCATCCAATTTAGCTCACATGCTCGTTTTATATAACTGCGCATTCAATACAACGTCAACACTACCCTTGTCTTATAGAATAATCGAAATCGCTTCACGTTCCTTTAAACCCATCAAATGCGCGAACTTCCCGTCTTACTTTTTGTTTCATTATTCAATTTTCACATGTCACCAACCGCCTAGTCGGTTAATTTCGAAGGCCATTGGTCAAAAATTCCCGTTTATATTTTGACTTGTAACCTCTAGCCTGAAGGTTGTTATCCAACTGGCCCCTCAGCTGTTGCAGGTATCACTTCAGCCGCTTTTGGCATGCTTTTAGTATTCAGGCCAAGTATTGTACTAGACAGCTGATCCCACATTATGGACAGAGCTTGTATGTGAGTACACGAAGTTGGAAATGGTTGGTTTGGTTAAATCCCGTGACCCACCAGACTCCAGACGTCTTCGTTGGGGTGGAGATCGAAGAATTTGCACGAACAAGCAAACAAATGGACGCCAGCCTCCGTGTCGAATGTTTACAGAAAGTGCTCGACAAGATGGAGCACTGTCCCTATCGTTGATGCTCGACGGCACATGGCCTGCAAGTTTAAACACTCCTGCTTCCATGTCCTCACGCCTTTTTAGTATGAAAATTATAAGGTAGGATGACAGCACCACTTTCTCTGCTCCATTGTGTTTCCGTGGCAAGACAAGTCGGACGCAGGCAGTCGACCAAAAGCTGACGCTACATACGCATGCCACACATGTGCCAGCTACTTACTCCACCCCGATCAGACCCCAACATATCAGACCTCCCGGTGAGAAGGGGTGCCCCATTGAAGGAGCCCAATTAGTTGTCCGTAGACTGTGGGTTGTGTGCTAATGTATGTACTTGCGAAATCTAGTTACTTGCTGGGCAGTTGTGGCCAAGAGTGGAGAAACCAAAAACGGAGATCAACGGAGCAGGAATTGAGTGATAACAAAAATGTCTGCCGGGGCTAGGCTCAGTTCTTCGATGACCAGGCTCCATTTGAAGATGGAGCGCCAGCTAGATATCGTATTTGTATACATTTGCCATTTTTTCTGGAAAGCATGGCTTTTACTACCAACCGTCTTCTGTGTCTTCCTGCATTCCGCCAGGTAGCCACCATTTCCGTATGACACGATCCAAAATATACCGACAGCTGACTGGGAACAGAGTTTCCTCGCAAGTGAAAAAATCTCCATGCCACCGCCTTTAGCGTGTTGCGATATCTTCATCACAGGCGGGCTTTTGATACCGAACCGCCATACCTTCTTTGTTTGTCTAAATTACCATAGTGAGGTCATCTGCGCGCCGCTCTAGCAACGTTGTGAAGGAAGTCAAATCTAACACGAATGTTTGAAGCCTTCCACCGGCGTTTATTCATGATGTCAACAAACGCAGTATTCGACAGTTATCGCTTGTTATACTTTAGCCTTATCTGCTTTACGTACCCATTTTGTCCACTGTGAATGGAGGCCCTTTTGCTGAAAATTTTGGAATGATAAATCCCAAATAAAGCGTACCTCTCCCTCTTTAAAGGCACAACAGACTTTCCCTAAGAAGGAAAGTGTGGACTGCCGGATCAGTTGCAATCACTTCGATTTCCCATCGTGTGACGGTGGCAGGATCGGGGCAAGTCAACCTTAAATGAGATCAGACACATTGAGGCCTCCCTCTCAGATCTAATAAACAGGCTTTTGGATCAGTTAAGGTCTGATGAAGAGCTGCCAATTGGGGGTCGCAGTTGGAGTGTTCGTGCACATGTACACAATGACAGTTCAGTCGTCGTTTGCAACGTGAAGGCAGGATCGGTGACTTACAGGTGAGCTGATTTTAAATGAGGCACACCTACTCAAAAACTACTACACCCCCCTCCTCCCTCATATACATGCATGGCTCTGCTGTCAGACAATGCCAGGACGACTATAGACGGGCTAGGGGACAGTGAATTACGAAGTTAAACAACGAGTCGACGCCTGCAACACACGCACACGTTCTGGTCCTCACAACACGTACCAGGCGTCAGTGTGGGGTCACATGAGTTCACCTGGGTGAGAGTATCGTGAAAGCCACATAGGGGAAAGAGTCCTTGAATCCTGAATCCTGAAAAAATACACCAGACAAAGATGACTACATAAACGACATGAATTGTTTCATTGGTCTTCGACGCACTTATAAATTTAAACATATTGCATAGCAAACGCGCAAAATATGCTCTCTCGTACTCCTTTGGTATCATTCGTCGTCTTCTTTAATTTTTTTACTCGAAGAAGGGAAGATTGTCGGTTTTAAAAAGGTTCGCAATAATGAGATTCCTTTAGGTCGTGGGACGTCCATCCAAGTAACATCGTATCTCTACTTTGTTAAGACCTCTTGTAAAGTACGAGACATTGCTCACATCTGTTGCAGAATTTTAATAGCTCTAATGGCATAGAAGAAGCAGCCATTCTGCCTACTTGGGAAGTGCACAGCTCGAGGTTTGGAAACTACAGATTCAAGTACAGCGGCAGATCGGCTTCAAAAGTATACGGGAATTGGACAAAATGTAAAGCCGAAAAAACCGCCTCTTTGAGAATAAAATTCGAAGAAGAGGAGGAAGAATGAGAAGTAGACGGGATTTGCTACCAAATGCGTACAATACAGGATATTTCCGCGCATGTTTTCTGTAAAATATGCTTGAATTTATGAGTACATAAAAAGCAATGGAAAAAATAAAGTACTTATTAAGTCCTTTTTCCTAGTGTGGTTTGCGCAGACGACTGTAAACAAGTGCATTCAGAAGTCGGTATCCTAGCGCGACTGATACATCTCGGGATTATGCTACATGAAAATCAATATTACAACCACTGTTAGATGGTAGTTCGACCATTGTATCTGATGGCGCCCACCATGTGCTCTACAGCAAGGTGCAGCAGGCACGGTGACATGCGCGTGAATAAGTTTATAGTGACAGTAGACTTGCGCAGCATCTACCGCACTCTCTCTTCCTCACTCCCCATCTGGCCACGGTGTCAACACAGAGTCGAGAGGACCGGAGGCGGAGGAGGGTGCAGGTGGCTGACACGGTCGGACCCACACCTAGGCGTACTACCACACCCCCAGGTCCACAGCAAACACTAGACCGGGGGTTTTAACCAAAACCAGAAAAATACAGGAGGACACAGGTCACTGGGCAATCATTTACACGGCCCGTCTACCGAGCGCAAGTGCGTCTACCGACAGGGAACTAGGTGCCCGAGAGCTGACAGTACGCACCAGGCTGCGAGGACCATGGTATGCTGATCATGGCATTGTAGACGGTCACAAACTTTGGATCCCACTTTTTCTAGTCGAAAACGCCTTACGGAATTTCAATTAGCATTTCATGAGATAGGCCTACTACTCTAGGTTTATCCTCCATCAGGCTACTGTCCCAACCTGATTTATGAACGTTTTAGCAAACAGTACTTGGCTGGACTGAAATATAATCACCCCCCCCCCACCTGAAATCGACCATCTGATCATACTGTATCCCGTGGACACAGCGACGTCACTGTTCAAGACCCACAAGACCGGTACCAACAGAACCGACCCCCAATATTGTCCCCGCTAAAGTCTGAAACATTTAATCGCTGAATCATGCCCGCCTAACCCTATGCCATTAAGACTGTATGTTGTACCATTTCGATAGGGATAAATTCCCGTCATGGTGCCGCCAAGTAAACAAGTAAGGTGGGCGTGATTTCAAATGTGTATTTTTTCGAGGTAAATAATCAAACGCCGGCTGAACCACTGTAGTTCAAGGAAATGCATACAGTGGTCATAGTGTTGAAAGTATCATTTCGGTGTTTGAAGAGCAAATTCAGATGTCTGCCCAACGAAATTAAATAGTAAACATGCATGCCTGGGTCTCTGGTTGGGAGTGGTCATATTTCAACCTTACCCACTGCTTGATATACACGCTTGGTAAAAAAACGCTCGTCCACTCAGTATGTTAGTGGAACAGCGCACACCTCTTTTTCGGCGTAGCCCTCACTATAATAAATCTGAAGTACTTTAATCTATGACAACAAGCAAACAGTCGTGGCTTGGAAGGTTGCCAACTGATGGGGTAATTTGATCCCCGTGACCAGTACCATGCCTGGTACATTCAGCGTCAGTCGTCACGTTGTTTCCGATAGGCCTAACCAGTTCTCCTTTTTAAGCCCGTTCACGGACGCAGTTTAGCTAACAAGAAATCTCGTGTTAAGGTGTCAGGCATGTGGGAAGGTGCAGTAACTGATTTCGGCCATTCATCTGTGGCGACAGAGCAGAGAAAAACAGCTGAGCAATCTGCGCCTTTTAATCTCTCCCAGAAATCAATTGGCTAACTTGGAGTAAATACTTGCGGACAAACCTTTCCCATTTGGAATAGAAAGTCGATACGAATATTTTGGCCGAAAGCCATCAGCTGTCGTGGAATGACTGCTTATTGTTCCTAAACTGCCACTGATGAGCCAAACGCCTTGGCAGCCGTGCCATGCATCCGCAGAAAATCGACGAGACAAGGGTGTCTAGGCTGTCAGTATGGTGAGTCATGCAACATTCGCACCGCTCGGCGAATCATTGGGAAGTGGAGGGTTGGCGACGCCTGGTGCGTCCAAAAGGCATGTGATGGTTCAATATCAGTCCTTAATTCAAGTTAATTATGTGTTGGAAACAGCGACCGTCAGAAGTGCTTTCCTCAGTATGAGCCGCGTCCGCCGATTGGCGAAGGCGCGCGTGGATTTAGAGGCTTGCCCTGGCGCGCCTCCATAACAGCCGGCGTCGTGAACCTGATTGGTTCATGCCGCGACTAATCAGCGAGTGCGCATACGTCGCCACCAGCTCAGTCGATGAAACGCCAGCGTTGGTTTGCTCAACGTCCGCAACGTCCTGCGGCGGCGTTCATTATGCGATTGAAACTCCGACTGATCCTCCTGGTCGTCGGAGTTTATGCCGTCATCTCTGCATTTATTCTCTGCTTCCCCCAGCCTTCTCAGACCTTCAGTCCAGCTTCCGATGTCCGGAACAACAATAGGAAAATAAGCTATGACGTTGACGGCACTGCTTCCAGTTGTCGATGTTCCCTCCTCCCTCACCAACAACAGCCTCGAGCCGTTTGGAGGTGGCCGCCGCGGCGGGTGGAGGATCTTATCTGTCCCAATGATAGCACCTACGACTTGACACTTTGTGTGGCTATCTCGGGCACCGGAGTTGTGCCTACGAAGCTCGACTTACGGTTGGATGAACTGCGTCATCGTAAGTCTCGGCTGCAGCACGCGATTGATGGCTGGTCACTCCTGCGTCAGTGGTACGAGCTGGAGGATGACGACAAACTGGAGCAGTATGACATGTACACGGCAGCCATAAATGCAACGCCGTACGTGAGAAATATATCCGCGGGCTGGCCTGTAAACATGGTGAGCCGAGTACTTCCTTTGATGCTGTTTACCGAATCGTATCCTAGCGAGTCATTTCACGATTCCAGAATTTAGCAGTCTGCCCTATTTCCAGCTAAGGATGGGGATGACCAGTGATTGTTCTGACGGGATAGTATCGAGTCCAAATGAGGGTTCTCTTTGCTGTTTTGAGGTAATACTGAATAATACGCGTGGCATGCTATTGGTACTTGCCTGTGCATGACTTGGACACAAATTTAGTTCCCTCGGTCGAGACAAAGGCAACGTTGGAGCCAGTCTGGAATTACGTGTCCAGGTTGTTGGTTAATGTCCTATAGTGAAGCAGTCTCCGCGAAATAGACTCTTTCGACTGGACTGGCGCTGTCATTTTGGCAACCATTTTCATAAATGTCACATCAGAAAACAATATAAAGCCCGACAGTCACCGATGCTCGAAGTTCGAATACCGACCTGTTAGCAGTTGCATGGGGCCTTCAACCGGAGAACGTGTATCTCAGTGATTCGAGATTTCGTGGGCACTGGTCCGGACTAATCTTTGGGTATTGGCAGATGTGCGCTCAGGTTATGTGGGCCGATATAAGAAGAGAGTGAGGCCGATGCTAAGGTTCCCTTGCCCACGGTAATTAAACGCATTCCTCACTAGTAAATCTAACGCGGTTGCATTTTATTATTATTGACACCACCACCACCACCACCACCACCACCACCACCACCACCACCACCACCACCACCACCACAGGTTGCAAAACCCGGGGTTGGGTATGGCTGGCTGATGACGCCACAGTTCGGCCGTCGTTGCCGACGATGTCCGCCACGTGCTACACAGCAGGGTGGGAGCGGGGAAGGTGACTTGCGCGTGATTTAGTTTATGGTGATAGTGCGGCATCTACCACATTTTCCCCTCTTTCCCCACCTGGGCACGGTATCATGGCTGACTCAAGATGACCGGATGTGGGAAAGGGCTCAGGTGACTGACACGGTGAAAACCCGCACCTAAGCTCCGATCCCACTGAGTGGGACCTCCATATGGGCCACATTAAGAAGGAGCCATTGTAGCTTGACTCATTCCACCAGTCGGCCACTCCAAACAAACACACACACTGGGCTGACCGCATGGTTTAAGTTGAATCTTCAATTGGCAACCTTTAAAGCCACGGTCTTTAGCTCGCCGTGGCGGCTTCATGCGCGTTTAATTTTTTATAATGAGGAATTATTCGCTGGAAGTCGGTCTCGCACGAACTGCCCCCTCCCCCCACACATACACGCCAGGATTTCACACAAAAGGGGGTAGACTGTTCGGATCTCAAATGTAACAGTGAAGCCATATGGAGAAAGGAGCTGAGTAATCCTTTTAACGAGTAGTTCGTAACATATGCCTTGCAGGTCTCGGCGCACTCTTTCCCATGTTTGCTCAAGATCGGGCTGCTCGGACAGTCTTTGCTGCACCAAGCGGCGACATCTGAAGAACGCCGCTTTGGTTGAGTCAGTCCGGTGGCCAACGTAGGCCTTATGCGCAGCCTGTTCTTTCCGGTGAGCAGTTTACCGCAGTTGGCTAGATCGCAGTTGGTAGCCCTGCCCCGTATTACAGGTGGCTGGGGGTTTGCTTACTGGAGCTGTTTTGTGGGGCTACATAATCACATCTGACCCATTTGGCTTCCGTTTTACGTTTGAGGTTAGGATTAAGGTACCGCTTTATGGTGTCCGATTTTCGAGTTAGGGTTATGCCTTTTAGGCTTAGGCTTTCGGGTTACGATTAGGGTTTGAGTTTACAATTAGGTTTTATAGTTAGGGCTATGTCGAAGGGCTACGGTAACGTTTACGATTACGCAATTTTCTGCGTCGTTTTGGTCGAGTCAGCCCTAGTGTTGACGCCGGGCGTGTCCGAGGACGCCCAAGGCAGTGGAATGGATAGCATTCCGCGGTTGACATCACCGAGTCTCCACGGTGGTCAGGTCGTCCGGACCCTGCGGTTCCTCCAGGTGTTGGGCTGATCAGCTACCAAATCTTAGCGACGAGCAGGCAAATTCGACAGAACAGGTATTTAATATGCCTGGGGGTCGCTTACCTTGTGGTCTCTCGCGAGCTTGTGATCGGCGCCTCTTCTTGCAGATGACAAGACAGTCGGCGTCGCAGATGGCCTTGGTTACCAGCACGTCCTGTCGACCCCGCCTCCGGACATGAACGTAGTCCAGCAACTTCCGGCGCCGCGATCGGGGGTGCATTGAGATCGCCCTCTTCCGTGTCGGAAGTCAAAATGTGTTGGTGAGATGGAGGAGGAGGGGGAGGCGGTATTGTGTGCAGGTTTGCAGAAATCGGAGGCCATTGTCGTTGCAGCCACAGATTCCATGGAGACTCAGCACCCCCCTCCAGGTAACTTAGTCTGTCCCGACATAGGCATTGGAGTCACCAAGGATAATCAACTTGTCTGCCTTGTGCACAGTTGCCAGGAGGGCGTGCAGTTACTCGTAGAACTTGCTTTTCGCCTCGTCGGAGATGGCTATTGAGGGAGGGAATGGGGAGTAGGCACTGACGATGGTGATGAATTTGGTTCCCGAAGTGGCGAATGCAGGGCGGTCGTTGGCGCCCTTCGGCAGGTAGGGCAGCAGTTTCACGATGTCGTTCCGGATGGCAAAGGCGATTCCGGCGTCGCGTCGTTCTGCCTTTGGGCGGCCGCTCCAGAAGAAGATGTAGCCGACACCCACCTCGAGTTGGCCCGGCTCGGAGAAACAGGTGTCGTCGCTGAGAGCAGCGATGTCCACCTTGTAGCGCATCAGTTCCAGAACGACTAGCGCCATCTCCCTTTCCGGATGGTTGCTCCTCGGATCGTCTAAAAGGGAACGAACGATCCAGGCCGCCAGAGCGAGTGGACTTACTCTAGCAGCCTGTGGATTTGGCCGAGGAGAGGAGGGGAACGGGGGGTTTTTGTTCTTTGTTATTTTTTGACCTCGCTTTTTGCATCTACGAGACACCATATACAGTTAGTGACCTAACTCATGAAATGTGTCGAAACCGACACCATTTCATGGGTCCAGTGTCTGTGTCAATTGCGTAGAAGTTTAAAAGAACTAAAAGCATAAAGGAAATGCTAGAGGCGGTGTTGCATTGTTTAGAAATGCCGATTTATTTAAAAAAAAACGCAATATCCCGAAAACGTCAGAAATGGCTCTAATTTAGTAGAAATAAAATAACGTCTGATAACAGTGTTTCAGTGAAATTTACATCTAAGTATCGTTTAATAATTAGTGTGATTTCATATATGACGGTTTGCCAACGGCCTGCATCCTGAGTGTAGGTTCCAAAACAGTTTTCCAGGGATTCATGTTACCCTTGACTCTTTTGAGTTAAATGAAACGAAGTTCAACAAGAGAAACTGGATTGTGCTTGATTTCACCGGCGGGGACCTCAAAGGAACAACAGTTTTCATAAGGTGACATTCTGTCAGGCCGATTGGTGCGTTAATACGTTTAAACAGAACTGACAGGCGTGATCGTAAACATACAACTTTGTGTTTATAGGGAAAACATTTCTTCCGTTAAATTAATTTACGCTTTTCGTTCGTTTTGGATTATGTTTAGCTTCTGTTCGATCTCGAAATATTGCTCAATACTTCATTATTTTCAGTGTTTTCACCCGATCGTCCATATAGAAAGATTGTCAATTACTTGTCTGTTAAGATAAGGTTATTTTGAAGGTATTTACCAAATTAGTGAGTGTTCGGGTGCTCCTTTTCAGGAAGATGGTCATTTGGGTCACATGTGAAGACTCATTCAAACACCAAACTTCATCTTTAACAAATAAAGCTGTCCACGACGAAAGTCAGCAACGAATATGCCTTCGATCAATAAAAAATTTCTTTAATAAGTTACCTCTTTAAGAAGTGCTTTATTACTACGCTCCATTGACGGATCTCTGTGGACTTTGCATTTTTGCACGATGAGGCCAAGTAAAAATTTGACACTTTTGGCCGTTCCTTTCTCGTTCCTAAACAATACTAATATTTTTCTACTGAAAACGTAAGAACGCGCCTTTCTCTATACATTGAGGCCATTTCCACTGTTTCTGCTCGCTTTTAGACTCCGTTCTTCGATTATGAATGCACGGCAGAGCGCCCATAAAAATACTGTCATTTTGCTGAAAATATTAACGTTTTGCTCGTTCTATTTCTGAATAAGGTATGCGCAGAGGCTAAACTACACGACAAGTAGCGTTTCCTATGTTCAAAACTGGAAACGACCATTCGGCGGTGGTAATTTATGTGACATCAGGTAGAATTTTCCAAGCGGCAGAAATATTCAGCCCAATTACACGAAGGAATCCAAATCTGCGTTATTACTGCACTTTAGGGCAGCAAATCGCACAGACCTGTTAATTTGGCATTCAAGAATTGATAAAACCTCTGGTTTTCCTAAACCTTAGTGTTAGCAGGTTTATTGCCACGGTTAAAATCGGACATAAAATAAATTTTCAGGTTCGGCTAAATCTGTTTATTAAAACTCTCGCGGTTAAATTATTATCCTTCGAATGAAAAAGTCGCGCAGATTCGTAACCGGAGTCTAGGACATGTATTAGCATAGGAAATTGCACGAATTTATTCCAACGTCCATTTTCGCTAGAATGTACTGATATTTTACTTGATATAATTACGTAAACACAATTTCTGCACAATAAAAGGACGTCTCATTGAGGGATGTGGATGAACGAACAAAATGCGCAACGTCAAAGACGTCCAGAAATTCCTGCATTAGTTTCCGCTATCAGCTTTCATGAGATAGGTCACGTACTGTACTTACAGATGGCGTGATTTCTCAGCATTTGTTTAGGGCGCATTTCCTATTCCCTTTCATGAGAGGGGATAAGCAGTGCTATCCAAAAATAGGGCTGCCTAGACATCCCAGACAACCACTGAGCTCCATTATGGATTAGGGTTTTGCCTAGTGGAGAGCGACTGGAGTTATTCCGGGCCGCCTACGGGATTGCATGTCGCCCTTTCCGTACGAATTTTGAAATGGAAGAGGGAGGAAGGAGAGGGAAGAAAGCGAGGGGGGTGGGATGGGAATGGGAACATACCTGCCGAATGTGGAAACACACAATAGCGGGTACCCTCATCTGGTTTAACGCGCCGGCCGAAGCGGTTACAAGGGTGTGGACGCCAAGCAGTGCCTGGCTTCGGCGAGCCGCAGAGGAGAGTTGAGTGTCAGTTAAGGATCAAGAGAAGCAGCTACCATTTTCATGATATGACCTACCACCCATGCACGGGTTCCTCTAACTGGACACCCTCACACCCCATCTACGGGACTCCGTTGCTATGCCACCCCATACCTATCATAGATGGTCGCAGTTGGTGCGGTAATGGTTCGATGACCCACGGCTGAGTTGTTGACTGCCGCGACTTCATCATCCTGCAATTTGGCTCTCCATAACTGGCGCTGAAAACAGTGGTCGCTCGCGCGCACCCGCGTGACTAATTACTCTACTCAGAGAAACTATCAGCATTGGATGTGGAGGTGGGAGTTTGTTGTGCCTGTCATTATTAGTGGATTAGGGGTAGGAGAACAATGACCTAGACAGCACGCAGCTCACAGTCGTTATATCCTTCGGGAATTTCCGCCTTGTAGAACTTGAAGAGGTAGGGTGGCCCCGCTGGGTGGTTTGTGATTTGAGAATTAACGCCCTCCCTCCTTGTTACTGCTTTGAGTTCGGCCACCCGTGTCCAAAGTGGTCTTCCGGCAAGCGCTCTCGCATGTCAAGAACGTGTCGGGAGCCGTCAGTCGCCTTTTCATACTGCTTTGCGTTGGGGTTAGACACAGTCAGGAGGCCATTCCCGTGCGCCATGTAATGAGATCCGAATATCCTTTGCCACGACAGTAAACGTCTTGAGTAGTTTACCGGCTCTGGTGTAGTTGTTGGCAACGTAACCATCTCGCAGCGCCTATTAAAATGGAAGAGAAATTTGGTTTTTCCTGACTGGATAAACTGAATTTGTGAAGAGGAATAGTCTGCAAGATGACCACATTTAGGTGTCTCCTTTAGGAGAGGGTGACGCTGAACAGTGTTCAAGACGGAGAAGTGGCCAAGAAATTTGAGTGTTTATGCACGGGAACCGTTTCTAAGCATATGAGTACAGAATGGACCACGAGAGTAACGGCATCTCAAGTACTGAGTGTGGTTTTGTATGTAAATTGTAGCGGAGTATGGGAAGCGGAGAATGGACCGAATGCGTAACTCAACGACCGAGCAGGGATGGACAGGAGTGTCTTCGTAGCGGCTAAATTATTAATCGTCCACGGTTTCTCAGGCATCATGTCTCTTCAATCACCTTAAAGATCCATCTACCTACCGCCTCCTATCTATCCCCTCACCCCTGATCCGCTTAGCCCGCTGAACTGCAGGTATGGAGCTGGTCGGAACCGGCATACTTCGTGTCGATTTCTTAACTGCTGATGATGGAGCTTTTTGTTTCACTTCGTAGCCTCCAATAAACAACGTAAACGTCAAACTCCTGCGTACAAGCAGGTTTGTTTGCCCACCAAAGACCCCACCAAGGCGTCAGTTTGACCTCATCGTCGTCTGGAAATCCGCCGTCTACAACTTCGAGGACCGGGCGCGTATTCGCCAGCATTACCTCAACCTCGACAATCTGACCGACCTCAAGATTGGCATGGTCTTTTCTCTCGGCTTGCCTCGTCCCAGCGGCGGCGCCCTCCTGCACATGAACGGCTTTGACATTCTCCTGCCCGAGCGCGCAGGTGAGGCGCTGAAGACCTGGGAGGGCCGAGCTGATGAGGCATTGGAACGTCTGGCCGCTGAGGCCGATCGCTACGGGGATATCATCCTGGGCGACTACCTGGACACCTACCTGAACCTGAGTCTCAAGATGAGCACCATGTTCCGGTGGGCGAGCAGCTTCTGCCGTCAGCAGACACTCGCCTTCTTCTTCATTGACGATGACTACCTCTTCTACCCCGAGCGTGTTGAAGCCTACCTGCGTTCAATTGACCCCGACAGACTGCCCACACTGTACAGTGGCCAGCTGCTGCGCAACTACCGGGTCATTCGACCGCATGTGGACCCCCGGCTGAATAAGTATGCCACCAGTGAGGATGACGTGCCCTGGCCAGTATATCCAGCCTACCTGGCAGGCCAGCACTTCTTCATCGGCCCGCAGGTCCTCTCCGACCTGGTGGTAGCCATGGCCTACACGCGCTATCACTCCCTCGATGACACCTTCTTGGCCTTTAGCCTGGCTAAACTGCCCTACCAGATGGAGGCAATGCCGGCCCTTCTGGTCCGGCCGCATGACTCCTACTCGTGGCTTTACTGGCTGATTGTGAAGCTGGAAGCCTTCTTTAAGTCCTTGGAGGCCGTCTTCATGACAAGTCCGGAAACCGTGTTTCTCTTTGACGTCCACACTCTCTGACGCACTCCCTTCTCCTCCTCCTGATCGACAATTCCACTACCCCCCCCCCTACCGCAAGAGCCGATATCCCTCCACCTGTTCTATATTTTTTATTGCCTTTCTATCCTTGCGTTTTTTATTCTTACTTTTTTTTTACATATGCACACTATGAAGTCTCCTTTTTACACCAACAAGGTATGTGGATGGCTATTGGAGGATAGCTGTTTGCGTATTCCCTGGCTAGACCTTTTGAAGGACGGTTTCAGGGTGTTTTACTCGTCCCGCTAATTGGGCTCTTTCAGGAAAGACCAAATTGAGGGCATGCATGCCCTGCAGGGATACCACAGAATGTTACATACTATGTGCATCTCATTGCGTGAGTCACGTTTCAGATGTCAGGCCAGGCCTGTTTAGCAGAGCCCTGGATGGACTTGGTAATCCTGCGTGGTTTTCTTTCAGTCGCGGTTGTTCATAAAACCAGTCTCCTCCATACCCCTTGTTATTTCGCCCCCTCCTGCCGACTCCCCGACTAAGGGACATTCGGTCTCCTCGGAGCCGGGGGGGGGGGGGGGTTCGAGTTGCAGGAACGGATGACTTCTTTCCCCATCGGAGAGCGTTTCGCGCACTTGGCTGGACTACTCCAACCTCATTCAGCCATTCGTTCGGGTCTTTGTGCGTTTCTTATATGCACACGCCGCCGAACCGAAGGACTCTCCTTCGCTCGCGTCACCAGCTCACCCTGGGAGGAAGTTGCGTTTTGTGAGTCTCGTTCAGGGTCCTCTACGGGGGCAATCTGATCACAGCCAGATCCGTGCTGAAATGTGTCTCAGTGCTAAGATGATCCCTGGCACTAGCAGGCGGGACTTTCTGGTTAATCGAGGACTCTGGCAACGTGATGGCTGTAAACAGCGCTGCAAATGCCTGGTCGTGTAGTACCTGGCCATTAAAAAACGATAAAACTAGGCTGGGAAGATGACTCTGGGAAAAGTTGATGGGCGTCTAGCTGACTGTGCCAAAATTCCTCAAAACCCCCACCGAAGAGCCCCTGCGCCAACAGAAATCTGTTCTGTGAAGTGAAGTGAACATGTCGCCCCTGCTTCGTCTACATGTCAATGTCACCGGAGTTATCCAACATCAAAGTAAGGCATATTCGATTCAGATATGGTTATGCAGCCCCACCTGAAGTAAACAAACCCCAGCCACCTGTGATACGAGACCGGTCGAAATAGGAGTTTTTGCAGGTGGGGCCGGGGAACGCACAGGCGACGAGGTCAAGTAATTGTATGCCAAAGAAAATCTATTTGGGAATGTGAGGTTGTACTTTGAGTGGTTGAGAAATTGTTGCCCTAACTCCAACCCCTAACCATAAGCCCTAACAGCCTAAGCCCTAATCCCAACCCCTAAACGCAGCCCAACACCGTAACCCTGAAACATCCAATGAGAAAGTCAAAGAGGTACCACCGGCATTGGGCCAAAAAAGGTAGACACGGTAACAAAGAAACAAGGCACAACATCCAGCAACATCATGCCGACGTAATCACACCAAAAATAACTAGTTTCTTCCGATAAACCACGACAGTGGTGTGATCGGCGTAGGCCCCGGGTCATACTACTAATTAACCTGTCAGCAGGCGTCGTTAAGGCCCAAAGAGTGCGGTAAAGGCGTATAGTTGTCGGTGGGTGTGTGAGCAGGAGAGTGGATGTGTAGCAGCCACTCCAGTTCCCCTTTTCTCCGGCTCCGTTTTGTCGAACGATGGCCGCGGCAGCTGTTGACACACGGCCACCCCCGCCGGTTAGACCTGAGACACCTCTGGTCCAACCGCAGTGACTCTCGGCTGACCTCACAAACTTTCGCCTCACGCGCGTCGAACGCTCTGGCTTTATACCCGTGAGGCCTTGTGAGCATGCCCCCCCCCTATTCCTCCCCTAATTTGTCCAATCCCACGACCCCCCCTGCTGACATAGACACGCACACTCGCGTAAACACCACACCGCGACTGACACTCTCCGTGAACGGACGCTTATCTCTGTCGCAAGCAAACAGCCAACCTACGACAACCTGCCCTGTGTATAGAATAAACTAGTCCTCACTGCTCCCTGACATCTGACATTAGATGAAACGAACTTATTGTGAGTGGTTGAATTTGATCTCACATCCTTGACCGCCATAGATGTGGCCTTATGTGCCTCCAGAACTGACCACGCAATAGATACCCTGACCCAACACGGGGGTCACATCGAATTCGGACATGCACACCCAAAACAAATGCCCTCATCCCTGGTGTGGTGGTGTGCCCAGTTGCCGGCTCATGTCCCGCTAAATGGGATCCCTTCCGCCTCCCATTGTAGTTATCGTTGTTGGTTAAAATCCTGGTTAAGTGTTGTGTACCAGGGGGTGTGGGGTTGCGACTAGGTGTGGGTCCGCTCGTGCCAGCTACCTGCGTCCACTCCCACCTCCGGTCTTCTTGACTATATCTTGACACCGGGCCCATATGGGGGGGGGGAGGGGGAGTGCTGTAGATGTTGCGCAAGTCCACCGTCACTATGAGAGGAACCACGCCCAAGTCACATGGCGACCAATAATATACGTAGGAAGGAGTGCCGGTAAAGACGAGGGAGACTGGAATTTTCACTTCTGGCTTGTTGGCCGTCGTCAGACAGCCATACTCAACTTCGGGTCTGGATGACCTGGGATTCTTTGGTTATTGGACGTTGAGTAGACCGGCGATCTCCCATTGAACAAGTGATCCGCTGTCCCGTTGGTTGACTGCGAGGACTCTAGACTGAGTCCCAAGGCGAAACCTGATTGGTGGACACCGATCGCTACCGACAGAACAGCGCCCCCCGATCGGGAGCATTATATATCATTGGAAGGGACGTTCGCCAATCAGGCTACGAGACATGCTCGTCTCGTTGCGCTGGGGAGCCTTTGCAGGCATTCGCATAGTGACAACGACCAAGATGTCAAAAGTGGCCATCTCGGTATCCCTTACACTTGTAGGTATTCCTTTATGACCAAAACGACACGTCCTGGCTTGTTTGCTAGTTGGACATCAAGACTAATACTCTGCTAGTTCATTGGTGCTATCTGATTTCCGGATGGGAATTGAACGCCCCCGTTTGTCTTTAAGACCCGTTCCGCAGTCCAACAGACAGTGTTCACTACCCGAAAGGATTATTCGCCTGTGCTCAGGATATGACATGAGAGGTGCACTCATGCATGTCTTTGGATTATTGTGTTTGGGCGGTTTTTTGCGGAAAATTTCCCAAGTCAAAAGTAAAGACAATATATCAAGCCAAGTCGCTGAATGCCACCTCTAAATGGACGTTTAACAGGTGCTCGGTATCTGGAGCACTCCCACTTGTCTGCTACCGTGCAACTGTCCTCGGATCGATCGCCAGTTAGTTCCGAAGTAGGAAGGTTGGCCAGATCAGACATGGACCTCGTGCATCAGCAAAGCGTGCTCTTCATGTGGTAGGCGTGCAGAATGGTATGCATACTGAGGCCTACGTTTGACCGACATAATCTCTGTCGAGGAACGCCGCTTCTGCGCTCAAATGCCTCACAACAGGTCAGATGGTCTAGACACTAACATAGCGATCGGGGGCGGTCATTTGATCAGGATTAATCTACCTGTTGGTAACAACCAGGACAAGATGAACCGGAGGAGGGAGGTTTCCCCCTCTCCAGGCATACACAGATCTCAACCATGGCTAAGGTGTCTGGATCACAGGCCTGTGCAACGCCACCCTCCTTCTACCTTCAAATCCTCACCAAAGGCGAGAACTATCTTTTATTTTTTATGGAACCATGCTGCATCCATTTAGATTCATCCAACCGACAGATTTCAGTGTATAGTTTCACTGAAGCTGTAAGATTACTGATGTTGACTTTAGTTGGTCCAAATGTGAACGTCCCGACAATAATATCGAATAGGTAGAGACCGTCAGTTCGGTCCTAAGGCGATTCTTGGTAACCACTGTGTACTTCAAAGCTAAGTAGTGCATGGTTTATCTGAGCTTCAGTTTACGGAATATCTCATTTTAGAACTACCCCAAAATGGCTTCTCGAGTTATGGAAAAATTTACGCAAACAAACGTTTATGATAACTAGTTAAACTAATTGTCTGATTACAAGAAGACGAAGGCACGATCACTGTGACGATGGACTTATTGACCTTAGCTTTCGAACTCTAACTGGAGTTCATCATCAGAGACTGCTAGAGTGCAGCAACATGTGAACATTTACATCGTTGGGCCGTGAAGGGGGGGGGGCTACGTCCGTGGCTAGGTCTGGTTTGTGCGGCCTGGCCCAGGATGGTCCCCCGGCGTGGGGACGCCGTTTGTACTTCACGGCGATGTGAGCTGCGCCACTTGGCTGCGTGGGCGGGGTGCGTGATAACACGCAGGCAAATCAATGTGTCTATTGATAGAGTTGGTGTCCGACACACACGCCTCCAACAGCTCTCGCCCCGTCTTGTTGCCGGCGCGTGTCAATATCCGCGTGTTGGCGAATTCGAACTCATGGCCTTCCTCCAGCGTGCGAGTGGCGACTTGAGATAGTGGGTAGCCTCTCCGAACGGTCCGATTGTGCTCAAGTATTCGTGAGCTGAGACGTCGTCCTGTTTGGCGTGTGTAGTGGAAAGGACAGTTACGGCACGGGATTTTATAGACTACGCCCGACTGCTCACCTGCGTCCAGCCGATCCTTCATTTTCATGATCCTGCCACGCATGGTAGTCGCCGGATGATGAGCGATGCCCACGCCTACCTCTGACGCAATGCGTTCTATAGCCTCGGACACATTCTTTATGCACGGTAGGGAGTGCCAAATCGTTGGTGTCACTCTTCCGTTTGTCCTTGGTGGATGTGCGCGTCTTCTTGTAAACAAGAACCTAGGATGCGCATATTCTCGTCCATTCGTAATTTTCTGATTTCCAAAGTGAAGGAACCTGTGAAAATTCATCGAAGACAGAAGACACTGTCCTGAATGCACGTGGTGTTTCTCCTCCCATGATCAAT